TCACTGCGATCCCGCAGTCTCGAAGGGCGTGTGCACCGGAACTTGAACTCTCCCTCAGATTGTACCGAGACACCCATCCCAAGTAACACCTCTCGGATATGTTGCATGACTTCTGGGGGACGGCTGGCCGTGATCATCTCGTGGTCGACCGCTCCATGGTGGACCCGTAAGACAGACTTGCTGCTCCGCTTCGTGGTCTGAGATCGCCGGAACAGAGATGTGATGGACACCGCAGAGCTCGTCCGTTGTCGGTGTTCTTCTGTGCCAGGCGTAACGAGAAATGGCTGCGCGACCTCGACTGATGACGCCGCCGCACTTGGCTGCGGGGGAGGAGACGAAGAGACGGCACCGGACAGCGGGCTGGACGTGCTGGTGGTTGTCGACCTCCGGCCGCGGCGGAACCACTGCATGACTTTGTTTTGCTGCTTGGGCGGCAAAACCGGAGGCGAAGACGATGAAGAATCGACGATGAGAGGGTGCAAGAGTGCTCGCGCTTCGCTTCTCGACATGGTCCCGGGAAGCGCTTCCCGCGAGCCGATCACACCAGAAACAGAAGACGAATCCTCGATGGGAGGCAGAGGCTGGCCGTTGGAAGAGGATGATGTCGATGTCGAGACACCAGCTACGATTGGATTGTCCAGGATGGATGGTCGTCGCCGCCGTGGTGAAACAGGAATTTTCGCGTCGGGGGGTGGCAATTCTGACATTGCTCGTTGTCGGCGTTGAGTATTGTGGTCCACCTGGATGGTGTGCCTCGTTCGAGGTTCTTCAGCGACAAAAGCCGCTTCCGAGCCGGAAGGGCTATCCTCTACGACCGGTTTCTTCACGCCCTTGCGCCTCTTCCCGGCACGCCGGTAGGCCAGCATAGTCGTCGCTCCGTCCTCTGCCAGCTTCTCCAGCTCAGCCACAGTCAAGCCGAACGTCGTTGCTTCGCGCAGATTTATCTGAAACCACGGGTGACGCATGACTGTGACCAGCTCGCAACGCAGAACAGGATTCGGCACTAGCATCAAGCACAACAAGTCGCGTGCATTGTCAGAAACATGCTCCGCGAAAGACACGGGCGTTTTGGAAATGTATGCGTAGAGTTTCGAGATGTTCTCCGCGTCGGGGTTGTCCGGATCGTCATCGAACGGGAGATAACCGGAGAGCATTGCGTACAAGATCACACCGCAGCTCCACACATCAGCGGCCGTGCCAACGTACGATCCTTCCTGCATGACCAGCTCGGGTGCGGCATAGCACGGCGAGCCACACATCGTTTCCATGAGCAAGTCCTTCCGCTGGAACTGGTTGGCAAAACCAAAGTCAGTGATCACGAGATTGCGATTGCGGTCGAGTAGTAGGTTCTCGAGCTTGAGATCTCGGTGAACGATATTCTTCTGATGCATATACCAGACACCCGACACTAGCTGTGCAAATAACCGCGCAGCATCGCGTTCCTTGAGGTGTCGGTGTGCTAGGATGTGGTCGAATAGCTCTCCACCAGCAGCGTACTCGAGGATGATGCCAAAGAACTTGTCTGTCTCGAAAACGTCGTACAGTCGGACGATATTCGGATGTCGGAGGCTCTACACCAGTCGTCAGGAAACAGCCCACCAGCTTGAGATCAACGCACGTCAAGTATCTCAATCTCTCGCGCAATCTTCGCCATTTTCGACTCATTATGCACCGATTCCCGCCGTATAAGCTTGACTGCAGCCTCCTCTCCATACTTGCAATGTATGCCGAGCTTCACTTTGCCGAATTCACCTTCGCCCAGTGTCTGCAGCATGTAATACGAGCCAAACTTGGGCAGCGCCCCCCGTTTCGGGTGATTCGCGACAAACGCTACCACAGCCGGATGGGCCAACACGTCGCGGATTGCGGCGGACGATCGCGTAGCCGGCGCAGCGGATTTGGACGAAGTAGGCGTTTGGTGATGGTGATGGGAGGCCACCCGTTCGCGTTCGCGATGCCGCGGAGTGCCGACGGCCACCGACGTCGCTGCCTGGCGTGGCGCACGCGCAGGCGGGTCCATAGGAAAGGAGAGAGGGAAGAGGGAGAGGAAGCTTGGGTTGCGCGACGATTCCGTTTATGGGATTATCCGGTGTCGAGACCTTTGATATCAAAGAAACGTTGATAGCGGCTACTTCTCCGCACGTTATGGGTCAATGAGTGAAGGCGTGAGGATTTAGGGAATGAAGGCAAGTCTGTCGCTGGCCGCTTGTGCAAGTGAGTTGTAGAATGGAAAGCGGAGAACCACCATGCCTCGAGGCTGATCCAGACCCAGGCACGTTGGTTAGCTCGGAAGGTTCTGAGAACAATCAATGGTGAGATCAAACTGACTATAAGAGGCACGGCACACAGACCAGACCAGACTCATAGCGCACTGCTGGACGATGCTGTACAAGCCGCAAAACAAGCGCCTGACGGGCCGATACGTAACCGCATAAGGCATGCTTGGTGTTTGTGCAGCCGACAATGACTGGTCGATTTTCGCAGCTCAGTATCTTTGGCAACCGATGGACCATGGAGGAGTAAGAACAGGTGCCGGAATCCACGTGATAAATAATGCGTGTGAGGTAGACTAGGAGTGTCAAGATGTAAACAGATGTATATGTAACGAGTGCAGTGAGTGATAGGGAGCGTAGTAATAACAAAGGAATGAGCGCATATACTTGTGTGAAATCTTGTACAAGTCCTAAAACAACAGCAAGGAAGTGACCCGACTATGTTGACCCCATGGAGAAAGGATGGATGAACTTGCTTCACAGCTTGGCCCTAGCCCGAGGCGCGGGCCGTTTGTCGTATCCCTCGAGCTCCATCTCCGATCTAGTCCGCATCTGAGGGTCCTGAAGCATATACTCGTGGATGACCTCTAACAAATAGTCGTAGAACTCCTCCATCAGCCCGTCGGCAAATACCGAAGTTTCCCACTGCAGCATCATGTGGAAACGGCCGAAGAAGGTTCGAGTGTAAAAGAAAAGCCCGCCAGGGCCTTTGCGAGTTGCTCCGACGACATCCGTCACCTTGATTGTCGGATAGCGCTCTGTGCGATAGATCCCGGTTGTCAATCCGACTTGCGACACACCAATCAGGGCGATGGATGGGACAGCCGGAGCCTCGGCAGCCTTGGCCACGACAGCGACTTTGGGGCTGGGGGGCAGCGTGCCATTAGCCTCGTCGTCAAAACGCGCCCAGTGTTTGGCACGCTCGGCGCGTTCAGCTGCAGCGGCCAGGGAGCGACCGGCAATTGACGGGTTGCGAGTGTACGTGTGCATTTGCTTCTGAACATCCCGGGACCGTTGCCAGAACGCCTTGTGCTTGTCTTGAGTGGGAAGGAAAGCAGGCAGCATCACGTTATGATACGTCAGCGCAAGAAATGTTTTGGACGCCAGTTTCGACAGTGGATGCAGCTGGGCATGAATGTTGATGGCAGTGTACATGAGGATCGGAAGTGTCTTGTCGGGAGACAAATCCGGTCGTCGTTCACGCAGAAGCAGATACGCAAAGCTGATGACTGAGAACATGGCGCTCTGTATTGTCACGGCTTCGCGCTTGCACTTTGACAGCATGGTGGTTGATTGTCGCGGGCTGAACTTGGCCTGAAGTAAACGACAGTGGTGATCGTATGCCTTGGACCGAGGAAAAGCGTGTGCGCCCTAACGAATTGGATTGCAGGGGAATCATGATCAGAGTAGAATATATACGCACGCTGAACTGCTTCTGGACGTTCTCATAATCCGCCTTATACTCGGCCAGGTCCACGACGGATTGTGGAACCTTCAACCGGGACTCGCTGGACGGAACAATGGCATCCTGAGCGTCTTGAGGACGATCCCAACGTCGCATCCACTCGGATTCCAGCATCTTGGCCAGTTCTGCGTCCGTTTTCGGTCTCAACTCCGAGCCATAGTGACCACCCATCATCTCCAACAGTTCGTTGTGCAGAGCGTAGATGCCTCGGGCATCGAGCACGAAATGCGGCGTGTAAAGCATCATTTTGTAAGCCCCGACGCCGGGAGACACATCATTCTCGAACTCGACTTGAAGATACGTCAGCGAAGCGGCCGACAGCTTGCGCGTCTGGTTCATGCAGTCGTCAATCAGCTCTGCACCGGACAGCCCTGCGAACGTCGTAAGTGATCGGCTGCCTTCTTCCATCGCCTCCATCGGGCTGGCAGGTGGTGTGTAGCTAGAGCCTAGTGTCAACCGCGCAGAGGGGTATAGAAGCGCCGGACTCACACGAAGCAAGCCTCATCGTATCGCCCCGCTTCCATCTCGACCCGACTTGCCAGGAGCGAATGCCTCAACCGCAGGATTGCCCAGGCCGTCCTCACACGGATGGGGGTGATCAATTCCTTGGGGGCCTCGAAAGTCAGCATCACTGCAGCGGAAGGTCAGTGGGGCATCGTGATTGCTTGTGTGTGCAACGAGACCATTGATATCGTTCATCCCGAAAGCTCGGCTGGGCAGATAATACGACCTGTAGCGGCTAAGCCAAATAGCAGAGATCCCTAGCATGAGACTGACAGCTCGTTGTCGCTGAGTGCGCGGCGGAATGTGGGCATGGCTGAACGGTCGGTCGTCGACGACGACGCAACGGACGCGACTTTTTGAGGAGCGGGGCCAGACGGAGAATGCAGGGTCATTCTGTTTGATCAAGGAGGAGGCGAAGAACAAGAAGAAGAATGGGCTGGATCACCGCTTGCCAGGGGCTATAAAACACACGGCTCAGGAACCAATAAAGCCCACTGGCAGCAGAGAGGTTGACGTGGAGATGGCAGCGGTTACCAGGGTGCTGGAAGATGCATTTGCTGCACAGCGGGGGGAGAGAAGGCAGACGGTGCTCGAAGTTCCTCGCTACTTTTGCACTTGCATAAGGAGATGCATGGATCGACGGTGGGATCGGCTTCAAGGCCCACTCGAGCGGAACCTTGGCGAGCGTGGCTGTGCAGCTGAATTATGATGTGATCCGCGGCGCTGACAGTTTGCCATCTGCATGCCACCACACCTTGTGCCAGTTGGCCACCCGTACGAGTTCGCCGCACCTCGAGAGATCACCTCAACTCCCTTCGCCCGCAACCCAGTGCTCGAATCCTATCTTATCCCGTGCGGGATCATCGTCGTTCAACTGTTTCCCGACGCTATGATACGATCACCGCACGTACATTCGTCTGGTTGCGGTGGAATCCGGAAAGCTAAGGAAGAAGCTGAAGTGAAACAGCGATGATAGCCATGCGGAACTCATGCTTCGATCGCTGTGCCGACGCTGTGCCGACGCTCTAGATTTGATGAAGCCGCTGCAAAATGCAAGGCGCGAAGCCCAGCGAAGATTCCACGCAATCGACTGTTGGAGAATCCATGGCCTGAGCACAACTGCGTCTCGGACGCTGTCACGGAGCATTAGATCAGGCGGCACAATGCTGCCGGTCGATCCTGGTCCGCATAGTTCATAGAACGTGGTACACTTCGCTGCTCGTAGGGCTGATGCTATGAACTCTCGAGGAAGTAAAATTCATGAACAAGCAAGCAACGCACGCTTTGCTGCACCAGCTTTTGGCGACGGAGGTGTGTGCTCTTGTCGCAGCTGGCCATCCCCTGGTGAATAACGGAAAGCCTAATCTATGTACGTATCACACAAGCTTTGTGGGTGTCCCCCTGTCTAACTCGACTTCGAGAACCTCAAGCTGAACTTCATTCAGTGAGCAGCGCTGAGCACTGGATCCTGTTTTCTGAACAAACCAATTTAGACCTGAGCTTGTATATCATGCAATCAACACTGCAATACTGTCCGAAATCTGTCTCCTTGGACGCAGATCCCGAGATGGCATCGAGAGCTTGACGCTAAGAAGATCCATTCCCACGTCTCTCCATCTTTCGTTCCCGTCTGTTCCCTATATGTGCCCTCAAAAGACAAACGCGATGGAGTCCCACACACCTCTCGGTGCTCCGCAGCTCCTCCATCCACTCGTTCTTTGCTTGAGCTGAGAATCGTGTCCCCTCGCCATGGACGGCAATTGTGATCTGAGACTTGTGAGTCCGATGCACACCTGACTGATATGGTTCTCATTGGTCAAGACCCCTCCAAGTTCCTCCAACCGCATCCTCGCCTATCTTGACAGGGATTTACCTCCACTACCACCAGCTCAAGACGCAGTTGCTGCTGCTGCTGCTGATTCCCCCCCACGCTCTGTCAAAGTCCGAGGTTACAATCAAACTCCTGGTCCTCCACTCAGGATCACCTTCCCTGTTATCGCTCCAGGGCCACGTTCATCGTCTCTCCCTTCCGGCTCACGAAATGGTCTCGTTGGACCACCCAAGCGTCTGCGCCCCGCCAAGCCGAACCTGCGCATCGATCTCACGCAGTCTCCGTTTCGTCCCATCGTCGCCAGCCCACTCATCGGGGAGGTATCACCGGTGTCGTCCCAATCTGACTGTTCGCACCTCAGCACCCCGATCCTCCCTCCGTCGGCCGCAATCTCTCTCGAGACACGATTGTCCCCGTCCAGCCCGCCCCGCCGCACAATCTCACTCTCCTCTATCATCCGCCACGTCCAGGACAAGTCGCGGCCCGGCAGCAGGATCTGCAAGCGGATGGGCCCCACCACGTCCACCCCCATCATATCGCGTGGGAGCGATCCTCCCCGAGGGATTCAGGTCACCATCGAGCGTGACGTGTATGTCACCGTTTCGAGTCCGCCGTGCTCCGGTTGCACCAGCGATGAGATGGTGTCCCGCTTGTGCCCAGATGCCGTGTTCTGCGAATCACCCGTCGCGGGATCCGCCGGGAAAGTGGACGACGGTGCCAGTTTCGCTGACGAAGACGACGACGACGGCTTTGTCTTCTATCGTCCGGTCATATCGACACCGCGGCGGCTGCGGCTGCCCTCATCCCGGGCAGAGCTTGTGGCCCGTTCTGACAGTGCTGATTTGGAAATCAGGAGGGTGACCATTGATGGGCGTCTTCGCGCTGCCTCTGATTCGGTTGTGTCAAAGACTCCATCCCGGATCCAACTGCCACTGCGGAGGAAGCGTTACACTTGCAACAGACCGCAGAGCCAACTTGTTCCCGCCGGACCTCGGTCTTTGGGGAGATGATCACCGTGCACAGGAGTTGGTGGATGATGTTTTGGGTATCCTATTTATTCTAGTACAGCCCTAATCGATTGCTTTCGCACGTTGTCATTTCGAAAATCATGGACACGAGCAGTCACAAACGCGTGAGGCGTAATGAGACACGTGATTTTCACGTGCAGATGAACGGTCCTCTCTTCTGTGCCACTTACCCGACCGCGCTCAGCTGAGCCGTATGATTTCATGACCAAGCTCAATCACCCAAATTGCTCAGCTCCCCGACAATCATCTTTTGCTGACCAGCTTGCCCTCTCCAGAGATAGCTAAGGACCACAGCCGAGACCGCTGATGCGTCTAGACCAACGCCCGTGATGGGCGTGGAGAGTCTCCAGAACCTGACGGCCGGCTTTGGTCGGGATATTACGGGGCCGTGGCGCTCTAGGTAGAACTGGACTCTCGTGATCGCGATCTGCCTCCATAAAAACAGGCTCTGAATACCAATCTGCCTCCATCCACAACCTACTTCAACCGAGTGTCGCTCAGTACAACACCCCCACTCAAGACAAAACCACCACCTCGACTCTCATGTTTAATCTGATCATTGCACGCCGTAATGTGAGTGCTTCTGTTTTCATGGTTGGTCCAGATGCTGACACAGCGCCTTCTTTCGCAGACGCTTCTCGCGTGGGCTTCGATAGAAGCCGGGTTTGCTATTTATGTCTGGAACGCATACCGAACACCATCGTGCGTCTCGCGTTTCGTTTCGTTTCGTCGTAACAGGCCTGACCTGTTTCGTGCAGTGCGACAATGATATCTGCGTCCCGCACAAGAGCGGGACTGAAAGCCTAGTCTACACGTTAATCACCATCTTCAAGATGTATACCTGACACTTTGCTGAATGTAACATACTTGCCCCCAAAGATGACCACCTTCACAAATCAATTTCACAAACAGACGATATCAACGGGAGAGGTGATGCCGGGGACGATGCCTCCGGGGTATGTATCCAGATTGGTCGTAAGAACTAACAATTACATGGCTGTAAGTACGTACAATATTTAAGACAAAACATACAATTCCGCAAATGACATTCACGGCGGCGTCCTCGGCCGCGATGCGGGCTTGCCGCTACGAGCAGCCGGACCGGATGCAGACGAATACGGGGGCGGCAGCGGCGAGTGGATGGACGACTGGGCGTAGGTCTTCCGATACGGGGTCACCACAGACGAGGTGAGCTCGACACCCTGCAGGTCGTCGTCCGCTCCATCGGCAAGTGCCGAATAGGGGGTCACTGTCGGCCCAGTGCGAGACCGACGTCGATAGAGCAAAGCAATGACGGCCGCAGCAGCAACGCTGACAGAAACAACGACACATACAATCACCACTGTCCTGTTGTAAGACCGGGGCTTGCTGGTCGCTGGAGCCGCCGAAGCGCTGGGAGTGGCTGTGATTCGGGGAACAGCGGCAGCTGCGAGGACGTCGGACACGGCAAACAACTGCCCCCAGGGTCCCATTCCAAAAGGACCGAGCACAGCCACAGAGTGCATCGAAGCGGTCGGCGTTGTCACAAAATCCCCGTCGCTGCTGAAGTTCTGGCCACATGACCAGGACGCGTTCGTATACAGTGAATCGCTAGTGCTGTCCGTGTACACGAGCTGGAAGCTCGCCGCAAAGCCTGCAGCGTTGATAGTGGTGCCGATCTGGGGATAATTATCCACAACCACGTCCAGGACAACTGTCAACGAGTTGAGCGGGCTGTTCACCGCTTGTGCGTACTCCCAGGACTGCAAAAGCGCCAGCGAGGTTTGGTTTACAGAGCTGGGATTGAACGGCGACGCAGCGACGAAGATGCCGTTCACATAGAACGAGAATGCGTTGTCGCTCGCAATCAGGCCCCGCAAGAGTTGAGGTGTCTTCCCATCGGGGCTGACGAATTCTTTGCGAAATCCGGACGTCCCTGGATCGGCGTTGATTTCAGCACCTGCTGTCGCCCACAACCAAGAGCTGCCAGTCCACGGAGGGTCGGAGGATTCGACGGGAGACACGTCCCTCAAGAAGGGCGCGGTGATCACAGCCGGCAAGAGATTTGTATTCACGGCGGCAGGGAAGCCGATCTGCACGTTTGAGGTCGCGAGCCAGCTGGCGTCTGACACGGCTGTGCTGGACAGACCTGCCCCAGCATATGAGACCTGGATCGAGGCGACGAATCCCGGCTGATCTGCAGTAGAGTAATGTGCATTCTGGATCAAGACGGAGACGACGTTGATGCTCGCATTTAGTGCAGCTCGCACGACAGTGAATTCCTCCGTGGTGTTCGGAAGCAGCTGGCCGATGGGTTGGTCGTTGATCCACAGTGTCGCAGCGCCGACGGCGACAGCTCCGAAAGTTATTGTCGCGTTGGTTGCAAGTAGAGCGGAGGGCGAGACCAGTTGTTTGGTGAATGCGACGGTATGGGCGCTGGTATTGGCTGTGCCGTTCGTCCCGGGCGCCCAAATCCACGAGGCTGATGCCAGCGAAGGCGCGGCTCTCCTAGATCGCGAGTCCTCGAATCGTGTTACGAGCTGGGCTCGGACACCTGGGAGCAGCTGAGCGCCCGGACGAGGAAGGTATGGGTGTTCGGAAGGGGCTCACCGTTGGAGAAGATCAGGAACAGAAAGCAGTTCAAGAGGGTGACTAGTCGAGCTATTTTCGGCATTCACAGGCGAAGCGCTTGTAAATTGAATCTCACCCACCTGGACGCATACACTGGAACATCGACGATCCTTTCTCCCAGCGTCCCGATACCAGCGCAGTGAGCAGTCAAGGCCTATCGACCTCCCATCTTTTGGTTGACGGAACCGGGATGCCAACATTGCCAAGTGGCTGTAAGCGAGATCGACGCGGATGGGCAATCATCTCTGTCGCATTGTGACAAGAAGCATTGAGCTTGAGGCTTTGCACAGGCTTTGAGCCTTAGAGAGCCTTAGACTTTGAGATGCTAGCCTAGGCCCTAATCTCACCTAGAAGAAATCGCATACAAAGAAGAAGTCGAGTTGATGTGTGAGACATACACAGCGCAACAGCGCAAGACGCGTATCTCCGAGTCGATCTGGAGGGGCTCGGAGCGGACTGTGCCTCTGGACTCACGGCATACCTGATGATGACTCATAGTGGAGGCGCTGACTTGGTGCCATTCGGTAGTCGTCGGGACAGTCGATGGTATATGTATGATGGGATGTGGATGAACAGATGCGGAGGCAGTTTATGTCGCATCAGCGCATCACTTCGACATTCAAATCAATGTACGTAAGCACACATGCAGCACAGCCACACGGAGCATCTTCGTTCTCCCGCCACCTGCCTCAGTGCAGCCCTGTATCTACTCCACTTGTCTTCTAAACCGGACTTAAGGGCCTTTTTCGAAAATCCCATGTGTTTCGCCCACAGCCTCGACTCGTGTTGGGGGCTCAGAGCAAGCGACCCTCGGGCTTTTTCGGTGTCATCAGCCTGATCTTGAATATTCTCATGCAACCGGACTTCGCACGATCTTCGGAATTTCGTCGCGTAACGGGAAAAGGAATTTGTGGGTTGAAGCTTGAATACAGTCTGTAACTGAGATTGTGGGTGCATTGTGCATATCGCTCCTATATTCTCCCTGCACAGAGCTCAGTGGGGCGAGAAGTGCATGGTCTCGAGTGGGCGACCATCCGATGGGTGTCACCAGCTTAGCAACGGCTGAGCGTGCTCTTACTGTGCCGACACCTGTCATATAATGGAACCGGAGACGCGAAATCAAGCCCATATGGTCGCCCAGTGTTCAGCCCTTTCCTTCGACTCTGTTCCACCTCGCAAGGCGAGCTAATTTTCGTTTACTCTTCGCGAAACTGCGGGCCACCTGGAAGGAGGATCTCCATGCTCAGTGACGCGTTCTCAGGTGCGAGGGTTCCCACTGCGTTCTACCTTATCGTGGTATCTAATACGAGGAATACACTTAGGTCCACTTCTCATTCTTTCCCTTGTTGCTCTCCTTTTCCCGTTCAATTCTTATAATTGTAAGCCCGCGCTGGGACCACCTTCACTGGTCGTTGACAAAAGAGCTCAGACGTCGATGCCCGGGTCATTCGTGGCCGACAAGCGTCTCTGACGCCGAGGGGCGCACAGCCATCTGCATCCGCAGCATGGATATCGGCCGCTTCCTCTGACGGAACCCTCGACAAATCGACATCGCAAGTCGGATTCTTCAAACAACTGGTCTCGACGGTGGGACAACCCGCAACGAATGCGACCGTGACAGTCAACGCTGTTTGCTATGATGTTGTCACCCTCTGGGTGAATGGGCAACCGGTGGGGCAGCAGACGAAGAACCTCACCACGCCTATAGTCGCGCGCGTCGGGCTGAACACGACCCAGAACTTCTTCTCAGTGTTGGTGCAGAATGGCACTTGCACACCGGCGATCAGTGCGTCGATTCAGGTCGACTTTTCCGGGTCGACGCCGTCCAGCACCTTTGTCTCAGATTCGAACTGGTTGGCGGCCGCGAATGTGCCAACCACTTTCCCCGACCCGCAGGATTTGTCGTTGTTCCCGCCAGTCGTCACACGCACCCTTCCCAAGCCACCAGCACCATCTGCTGGGGCGTCGGCTTCCCCCCTCTCACTGGACGGCAGCTCGTGGATCTGGTCAATCGCAAACGCATCCGTTGCCGCACCTGTCGGGACTCTCGGCTTTCGAAAGACGTTCTCGATCCCGGCTGGCAAGAAAGCTATTTCTGGTACCGCTCTCATCACGTGCGACAACACTTTCTCGCTGTATGTCAACGAGGTGTACATCGCTGCACCCCCCTTCGACCCGAATACTGCGAACGAAGTTTATCAGTCATGGACATATGCGCAACAAGTCGCATTTCCGGCTGACTCGACGTCCCTCGTCTTTGACGTCATAGCGCAGAATTTCCCCGGTCACACGCAGACCCCGGATGTGTCGTCCGCTGGGTTCATCGCAGCGATGCAGGTCGGATACGCGGACGGCAGCTCGGATACTGTCGTAACCGACCAGTCCTGGAGTTTCAGTGCGAACTTCAGCAGCCCCAGCGCTTTTCTGGCCTTGCCGCCTATCTCGCTGACTTCGGCCGTCGTTCAGGGCAAGTTTGGGATGGCACCTTGGAAACAACTGCTCGGCACATCCGATGTTCTCGCCGCACCGAGCGTGCCCCAAATTATGGCGAGCACAGACGGCAGCGGCGACCAGAGCCATCACCAGGACTTGAGCTCGGTGGCGATCATCTGCCTCGCCATCGCCGTGGTTGCCATTGGCCTCGCTGTTGCTTTTCTCTACTTCCGCCGACGGAAACAGCCGCGTGAGGATACTCCTGTGGGCCACACCATGCAGATGTCGCCGACACAGTTCACGACGTACGAAAGACCGCGCCGCACGAACTCACGCAGCTCGACACGCACAGAGGATAGCATTCAAGATAAGCCCGAGCCTGAGGTGGAAAACAGATTCAATGTGTCTCGTGCCGAAGTCGGCGGCGGCTTTGCCCACGCCGCGCCTGATCCGCCAGAGGCCATGCCGCCCCCCAGCTACGCAGACTCCACTGCGTCCAGATCGGTCTACGGAGCTCCTGTTGCCCGCGACAGCAAGACTGCATTCAGAGTGACCAACACCGATCAGGACACATCATCTTCTAGTTAGTTCAAACAAGTAATCAACGTTTTATATTTTTGCTGTGTAAATTGCCGCTGGATACGTCTCTCTTACTTTTTGTATAAATCGAATGCATAGCTTGAGCAAACACCTTTGAGCTTCGTGTCCCACATGTCATCCAGCACCTTGACCACTTCCTCCGCTAAGATAAGTGTCAACGATATGCACCGAGGCTGGCAGGTGCACTCACGCAAGGGTCCCTTCTCAAGATCGACGAGATTCTGCACGGGTCGTTAGCCATCAGTCGATGGCCAGAAGGCAACACGAATGGACAGTAAGTACCTGTTCTAGATGCGACTTCCGAGAAGCACCGATGAGGATCGAGTCACCGTGCTCCCTTTTCATGAGAGAGTGGTGATTAATCCAGCGCAGCGCAATCTCGGGCAACGTGAGCCCATGTTTCTCGCCAACCTGTTTGATCTCGGCAAGCGCTTCAAAGTAGTTGTCATTCCAGTAGCGCTTCCGGTACATCTGGAACGCAGATGAGATCAGAGAGCTGCAGATGGAAGCATACGACTTGCCGTGCCAGCTGCATGGCTGCTGTCGAAGCGAGACCCAGGGTCCGCTCCACTGTCTGCGCCGGTGTAACGCCCAGTGAAGAAGCCTCCGCCAACTGCAAGGCATGTGAATCATGAACGCTGCGACCACACGACGTCATACTGACGTGGGTTGTATTCGTAGAACGCAATCCCAAACTTGCGAAGACAAGGAAACAATTCTGGCTCCGCCGCCCGGTGGATCGCGTTGTAAAGTCCTTCGTATGCCGTAGGCTTTACCCATCCATGCCGTTCGCAGATCCCGACAATCTCGGCAACCTCCCAGGCGGTGTAGTTGCTGATGCCCAGGCGTTTGAATTTCCCCTCCTTGTAAAGTTCGTTGACCGCGCGCAGCGAATCTTCGAAAGAGTTGCGGTGGTCAGGGCCGTGCAGATACCACATCTCAACCTGGCTGCGCGAGTGTGAGAGAGACTTCAAGGATTCCGAAACGATGTGCTTACTCAGTCTTGAGAGCGTCGAGCGACATCTGGCAGAACTTGCGGATGCTCTCAGGCGAATGATCGCCGATGTGCTTGAGCCCCAGTTCGGGCTTGGACGATCATTGAGTACAACAGTCCACGCGTAGGCAAGGCTGATTCATTGACGTACCGGCACAGAGAAGAGCTTGGTCTCCATCAACACGCCCTTGGCCTTCCAGTCCATGTTGCCGAGAAGCTGCTCGTTGGTACCGGCCCCGTAGAACCGCGCCGCATCGAGCTGTTCGGGGCGTCAGGCGCGGGAAGTGCGTGCGAAGGGCTGTTCACTTCGCGGTGGCCATGGCTGAGGAAAAGGTCGACCATCTCCTCGATCTCTTTGGGGTCGGACACGCGAGCTCCGTTGGTGCCCGGGGCAGCGAAGGACATCGTACCCTACGATCCGACCCGTGAGAGGGATATCGCTGGAAGGCGGAATAGATCCCATACCAAGACAACATTCAGTGCTGATTTCTGGCCGGGGTAGGGGGTACTCATTGATGCACTAGACAAGTTGCGATAGGGTGAACTCAGAGCCGTCACGAGACCAGTGCGCTTCGGCGTCCTCAGTGAGAAGGAGCCAGTTCGAAGTAACGGAGCAGCAAACTTTGAGGAGCAAGGAGCGAGGCTCCATAATGTCATCCTGTTTGTGAGTTTCCGACGAGTCTCTTCTGGGAAGTGCTATATTAACCGCTTGCAGCGATCACAGTCATGAGCCAAGGTGAGCTTCGATCATACCCTCCTTTCTCACGCTGTCTACTTGATCTGCACTGTCAAACCTGGCCCCTGGGTAATTGGCCGCGTTAGTTACAACTCAGCAGCTGGGCCGCTCACTGCGGGGGGACTAATTTTTTGAAGTTACACCAGATACATTTTTTACGAGTGTATATAATTGTAACTTACTGTGGAGGGACGGGATGTGGGACACCTAAAGAAACCTCATGAATAGCATACCAATAAATATGAATAATACCCCACCTAACTGCATCAAATGAAGGGCAAGGGTCCTAGGTACACTCTCATGAGCAGGCCAAAAATTCTTGGCCAATGTGGTGGGTGCTACAAATATTTTTTGATCAATTGTCCAATGCAGGAAAGTATTGGGATATGTGTCATAGTTCGGCCACTTTTTCATCTTATCACCAACGATCTTATCTTATTTTGGTGGAGGTTATCTTATCATGGATCATGGCATCCGACGGTCTGGGCTAGGGGTCCAGGGGATCATCTTTATCCATTTGGGGCTGTGCGACATATGCTCCAGAAGGCACCTCAGTTACCACCGCCATCACCCGGTTGCACCCCCGCGGGGGTCCTACTGGGTACCCAACAGGTACCCCCCTGTGGGGCCCGCGGGGGGGGGGGGGGGTTTGGTCCATTTGGGGCAGGGGCATATGCGGGGGTCAGCAGGGGGGGGGTCTGTACATGTCATGTGATTTATCATTGGGAGCGGGCAGGTGGGCGCAAAAAAAAAAAAAAATGAATCACATGACACATCCAATGGGCGGGATGGCGGCTGATGGCGGGGTAAAAAAATCACGTGATGCACCACATGAAAATTATCAAAAATGGCTAGCAGGGGTTGGCGGGGGTTGGCAGGGGCACTACTGCCCCCCCGCACACCATGGCGGGCAGTGGGCGCATTATCACGTGACTTTTGGGGCACCTTTTGTGCACCATTTGGCATGATTTCAGAGGTGTTGCTTAATCCATTGCATGCTGTGGCAGACAATGGGCGCATAGTCACGTGATTTTCTGCCCAAAAAAATGGAAGCCTTCCCAAATCATCCTGGTATCATTTCTATAGGTAAATAAATACACTAGTTAAGCATGAATTTGAGCTTAGAAAGCCCAAAATGCACCCTGCACAATGGGACTGGTGATGCACTTGATCCCATCATTTGGCGGGGTCTGCTGCGGGGGGTGCCACAGGGGGTGCTGTGGGGGGTGCCACAGGGGGTGCCGCAGGGGGTGCCGCAGGGCCCGCTGTGGGGTCAACCACAGGAGCAGGGGTAGGGGTGCATTGCATCATATTTTGATCTATCTATTCTTGCTGTGGTCTTAGCATGCAGCAAAATTACCCTTCATTTTGCCAGGAGTTTGGAGGCTGTGTCTGGGGTTGGTCTGCAGCTACAGCCATGTGACTCCCTGATGCTTCGGCAGGGGCTGGGATATCAAGCTGTGCAATATTGTCTGCATAATCCAGGCATGTAGGGTTAAAAAGAAAGTGTGATTTGTTCATTTTTTGGCTGGCAGGGTAGGTGGGCTGACATCATGGGCTGCATCAGGTCCACTGTCAACTCATTGATTGTTTCGTCTGCTCATTCTATACACATGCCCATTGGTAAACTGATTATGCTGTAGGCATAGTCTAATCTTACCCTGTAGATAATCCCACACATTAATTACGCACCTAATGTCACACTTCCTGTCTGGGACTCATTGAAGTTCATCTGTTCTGTTTTACTTTACAAGCAGTTTGCTTTAGTTGCAACATGAACAGATGTAATAGAGTGGATTTGACATACCCTGAATTGATTCCTAGGTGGAATATGAGACAATGGATTCACCAGCAAGTTGTCTCACAATAGTCAGAGATTGGTAATATTTGAATTTCAAATTTCATATACAACACTCTGTGCACTCAGAGCTCGTATATTTGCAAGATAGACTGTAGAGACATAGATGGTTACTTTTACTACCTCTGGGGCTGCACACATCCTTGCCATGACCCACTGCCTGCACCCCTGCTGGTACCCCCCATTGGCACCCCTGCCAGCACCCCTGTCGGCACCCTTGCTGGCACCCCCGCTGGCACCCCCGCTGGCACCCCCGCTGGCACCCCCGCTGGCACCCCCGCCAGTCTAGCACCCCCCGCCGCACCGGTGCCTTGTCTCTGTGATTTTCTTATATGTAAGATTATGTAAACTGACAGCTCGGAACACGTCAAGTCACTAGCCATGTCAGGGGAACCCCTGCTTTCGTCCGATCATCCTGGGATCTTGCATGTGACCGTGCACGCGCCATCTGTCAGGCGTCACATGCTTTGGTCCGAACTTCCCTGCCAAGCGCATCCACATGACACTCGGGCCCGGACCCCCATTGTTCCAACGGTCCGGCTCCCATTGTTCTCCCCCGATCCGGCCCCTCATTGTTCCTGTTGATCAAATGATGATCTTATCATCTGCCAGATGGATGTCGTGATACACATCTTATGACTCCATCACGTGTCATCTAGAGTCATGTCGACTCGTCCTAAATAGACACAAACAGCCCCCTGTATCATATATAAGGAGGGCTCTATTACCCTTTAATACAAGTCTCTTGACTACTCCCGCATAGTGCCCACACTAAGCTCTCAACTCACACAGGAGGGTTGCTAGACGCTCTCCCCAGTGCTCAACAGGTTATGGGCCCCGAGAGCTATGTCTGCGCCTCAGTGGCCGCGACATTCATTGTATGCGCCGTCACTGGCTGCAACGATGAGCAGCGTCTTTAGCCTATCTGTATTCACTACAGCTGCTGTACAGCGCTGGTGAAACCATGCCGGATCGCGATTACATCGCTTGATCCAGATGCATCGATCTCTCAAGGAGATTATGATCTATGAGAATCTGATCATCTTGATCTTTGATTTTATCTATCAGATTAGATTGATGCTGATTAACTCACACAGATCAATATGTCGTCCAACTCCAACAACATCTTCAATGCTGTCTCCATCTTTGATGGAAAGCACTGGCTCGTATGGTCCGGAACTATGGAGTCCTACCTGGAACATCAGGGGATCTCATATGTGCTGACCGAAACGGCGCCGACCGAAGTCAAAGCTACCGATGGCTCTGTGACCAACGCATCGGAGATCAAGCAATGGAAGCATGATGATCTCAGAGCGAAGGGCAGCATTAAGTTGCGCCTGACTGAGGGAGTCATTGCCAACATTCCAACTGCCAACATAGTGTCAGCTGCCAAGATCTGGGAGCACCTGAAGACCCAGTACGGTGGTGCTCAGTGCGCCGACCTGTACGCGTACTTCCAAACCGCGTTGAACGCTAAGTACAACGTGGGGTTGCACCCTGATCCACAGCTGCTGGTGATCACTACGGCGTTCGCTCGCCTGGAGAACGAGTCTTTGAGCATCCCTGAGTTCCTCAGAGCGATGATCATTCTCAACATAGCCCGGATTCCCTCTGTCACGGAGACTGTTCTACAGACTTATGACAAGGACGAGATCAAAGTCTCGGCGGTTCGTGACGCTCTCTTGACGCATTTCGCTCAGAAGCAGTCTCAAAGCCAGAATCATGTGGCCAAGTTCAATACCAAGCGCAAGCGCGATGACCCTTCGTTCACCAATCAGCAACAGGGCTCTGGCTCTGCACCCGATAAGGGTGATAAGGCTGATGGAAAGAAGAAGAACCGTCGAGGCAAGCGCAGTGGGAAGAACAAGGACAACAAGGGCAAGGGCAAGGCTGATCACAGTCATGTCCATGGAGTCTCCGAGATCACTGGCTCCCTCACTATCGGTTCGATCGCCTCGCTCACTCCGTCTATCCCTGCGCCGACGATCTCGCATGTCACGCACATCTCTCGCGATGGACCCAAAATCCGCGCGGTTCAAGAGAAGTCTCCCGTTAACAACAATGGGATTATTGACACCGAGTTCCAGAAGCCTACTCGTAAGGTCTTCGAGCTGGCCAAGAAGATGGATGTGATGGTGACCGCAGAACGCTTCCGGACTCTCGACAAGATCGTCAATGAGAAAGGAATGCTCCGCGAGGACGCAATCATGCGTTCTCCATCTCCGGTTGCTTCCGGCTCGAATCACACGCTGGATGATGGTCCTCCTGCCAAACGCAGTCGTATCGAGGAGATCCCCGACGTCGAGATGGCCACCGGCCAACAGAACGATCTTGATCTTCTGTTTGGAGATAGCGAGTTCGCCCAGGCTGAACCGGTCAATTGGGATGAAGTCGTCGACTTCAACACCCTTCTGGAGGAGATGGACGCTCCTTCCGCCGAAAGGCAAGTACCCTGCCTTCTTGGGCACATGCACAATTCTGATTGTTGCTCACAGCCAGAGCGCGTAATCACCGCCGCCCCGGGTTCTGTACTAAATTCGTTGATGATACGTTCGCATGATTTTTGTACCAATCTATTCTGTGTGCACTCCGATTTTGCTGCCTGCTCTAAGTGTAAGGGGAAACATCATCATCATGAATTAGGGCCTCTATGGCTTCTTGATTCAGGTGCATCTCTCCATGTGACATCGGAGATTAGTGATCTGGTCGGATATGAGAAGCTCTCAGATCCTATTGTTGCTCAGACCGCTGATAAGAACACACGTGTTGCCCTTATTGGTCGAGGAACAGCCTTCATCGATCATTACGTCACAAGGCATGGAGAAAAGACAATGGTGACTTCTCAGATATATCCAGTGTACCTAGTGCCAGGATTACATGGTCGTCTCATGTCTTTGGGCTCCTTACTCAAAGGAGGATCTCGCGTTCGTGGAGACGAATCGCGGATCAGCTTACATCGAGGGAAGTCCCCACTCTCGATCATGGAGTTTAGAACTCTAGGGAAGGACATTGCCTTGTACTTCCTGATGTCAAAGCCTAGCACGGCTGAGACAGTGCGATCCATGTCCACTGTTTACAAGGTGGATTATGAGATCATGCACCGGCGATTTGCACATCCGTCGAAAGACGTTTTACGTCAGGCAAAAAAGAA